AAAAAAAGAGAGAGTAATTCCACCTTCTTTTTCAATTTCACGAACTCACTAACATGAGATTTTAAATATTCTTTCGTTAAAATTGTTTTCCCCGATGTTATGTCATTAACGAAACTATCACCGTCAAAAGTTAACGAATTCAATTTCGTCGTTGATGCTTTTATTTCATACACGCTTTATCGATAGTTTTTGGCTCACCTTCTTTAGAAGCATATGAAACATTAATGAATGAATTATATGTATTCGTGAATGAGTTAAAATCAATGATTTTCAATTAATGACGCCTTTAATGATTCATTAACTGTCGAATCCCTTAAAAAGTAATTAATGAAGCATCTTAATGAAAGGTACACTGCAAACCGTCGAGTTTGGATCAAATGCTGTAGTTGGTGCAGGAATATTAATGATATAAGTCATTAAATCATTAAGTGACGTAAATAATGTTGTCGTTTTTGATTTAATTTCTTTAGCATCTGTTATATATGGTAATTTTATTTCTGTAGTTTCTGAATTAAAGATATTCGCTAAAATGTTTTGTAAACGTTTTTGAACAGCTGTGTAAACTGTTGAATCCGGAACTCTTACGATTTCACCGTCCTTAATAAAAGGCATTGCACATGTGTGTAGTGCTTGGGTCAAATCTTTCGGGATTATAATTCAACATATATTCTAACGCTTCATATCAGACTTATATACTGTTGTGTCGTTCTTCATGACAACTTCACATTTACAATGAATGGCATTGTACATGGAGTTAAAATAGGGTCAAACTTTTCATAGTCCTTCCATGTTATTTATTTCTCGGTATTTCCATCACTGATAACAATATATTTGTCAGTAAGTGTGAGAGAGTATTGACCAAAATATAAACGTTTAGCTCTGTCAGCTTCATACGCATATGCAGCTATACTCATATTTTAATGAGAATAAAATGTTGTTCTATTTGCAAAGTACAGACCCAAACGAATACGGGACAGTAAAGCTACAAACAAACTTAGTTACAGAATGAGCCACTTGCATTCAGAATGGTTGACTTCAATACTATCGCTTCATTCGTTATAACAGATGAACAGATTTCATGGAGCTTGAAATAGATGGAAAGAAGCACGAAATAAGATTTCACAAATAATGTAGAATATAAGATGGAAACATTAGCTGGAGTGTTAAATGCTCTCATAAATACTACAAATAAACAAGGATAACGAAGAAAAACTTAATGAATGTTAAACTTATTGCAGGAGTTTTGAAGTTCAGTTATGCAAAGGAGTTTAAGATAACACGAATGAGTCATAGAGTTCAATTGCTTCTGGGTGCATACCATATGACATTTCCTTTGAAAAGTGTTGACAAAACGATTGAGATGAAATCTGTTCCATACGTATGTTATGGTAATTGTTTGTACATTGAGTCTAAAATAGCTAATGTCACAGGCATTTCAGGAGTTAATAGTAAAGGTTCAGTAGAATATAAGTCTTTCTGTTATGCAGTCAATTCAATGTTCATTCCAAACGTTCCTGTCATAGCAACTCATTTAGGTAAATGGGTTCGCATTAGTCCTCATAATTTGAAAGACATGCAATTCAGACTTGTTGACTTTCAGGGCGAGCCTGTAGAACTGAAGGCACCAGTGCGAATGACTGTTGAAGTTGACTTTTTAGAAAATATTAAATGCAACAGCTTACAAGAGAACTCAGAGCTAAAAATATAAAGTATGAATGTTATGTATTAGGTCATGAACTTTGGTTGTTGCTGTTTGATGAAACAAATGAATTAGTTATGTCAGTCAAGAGAACAGAAAAAGGCGTCAAAGGCGCCGAGCGCAAAGCGCTATATTGTGTTAGTGAAAACTGCACCAAGTCAATAAGATTAGGTTTGCATTATGAAGATGAGTTCGATACTGTTGAAGAAGTTTTGGACAGATATTACAAATTGCTTTAATTTACTAAAACATATTTCAAGCAAAGTTTATATTCTGTTGAAAGTTTTGTATATTCATTCGAATATTTATACTTAAACTCAACTCCTGTAGTTCCTGGTGTTTCAATGATACGGATGTTACCTATTTTCATGAATGGTGGCGTTTGACCACAGCATTCGATTTCAGGGTCGAGATAGTCAATGACACATTGTTTCCCTGTTATTCGTGATATAACATTTTCAAGGTCCTCCTTTGTTAGAATTATTTGGTTCTTACTTATAAGATTTGTCAAAAGCTTCTTATCGTCTTTGAGTAAAATTGTTTGGTATAACTGAAGAAGGTAATGGTCTACGTTATCTGAAGGATTTGTTTGAACATTTGTGTAAGGGTTGTCGTTGGCTTCTCTTGAAAGAACTTGGTCCAGTGGTGGATACTCTAACTTAACATCTGATGTAGCGTTAGCGTTTGAAGCTGAGTTTAAATTCACGGCGCCATGCGCCATGATGGGCTCTTTGAGTCCTCCCGACTTAAGTTCTGGTTCTTTTTCTTTCAAACACTCTGAACTATAGTTCTTTATGACAATATTGTTTGTCGTTCGTGAGTCAACATTTGATGTTGGTTCAATTGGAACATTAACGGCACCCAGCTAAGATGGATTTGCTTCTCATTTCATATAGAATAAAAACCTTTTATATGTATGAAATGAACAATATACTCGACAAGGGTTTGAATGTAAAGCTAACGAATGAAAATATTGTTGAATTCACTGAGACAGGTGCAGTGTATAAAGATGTAGAACTACTGAACAAAAGAGCTAAGGGAAGAAGCAGGAATATGAACAAAGGGTGGAAGCCTTAAAAATTTATGTCAATGATGGCTCAGGAGGTTCAAACATAAAGTATGCAGAAAGTTATAGAGTTTATGCGCTCTAAAAGGTGAAAAGCCTTCATTTAAGAACAGCTATTCTAACGCATATCCTCAAAAGTTAACGGATGGGGAAGTGGATGATATGAATGACAGCAAAAATATTAACAGAAATGGCGACAGAGATGCATGGAATTTGTTTACCATCAGTCAATTGAAGGTTAAACTTTAAAACAATGTTGGTCGTTCCCATGGAATATTTTTGACTTTAATGGTATTAGTCATGATATGAATCTCAAGGTATGAACGAGGAGAGATGAGAGACTTATATGCTTCCCAAATTTCTTCAAAAGGTAATGTTATACCTGACTGTTTCCAAATGAGTTCAATATCATAACGTGAGAAACCTTGAAAGATAACGAAGTCAGTTATGAGACGTTTTATGTTTAAAGCAAGGAAACGCCATGTTTGCATAAGTATTGCTACAGTTAAGTGGTAATGTCTGACTTTAGTTATGATGTTAGCTAATGGTGAGTCAGGCTTTGACACTAAACCTTTTCCGGCGAAGTCGTCACAAACGAGCAGAGTGTTTGGATACTTTTTGAAGGGGTATTTTGAAAGTTTTGACAGAATGTAGTTTGTAAGTCGTTTCATATCGTAAACTCCTGAGTACTGACGTAAGTGGTGTTTGTCAATAATTCTTTCCATCTCCTCAGAAGTCTTTTGCATTCCTGACTGTATAAATTCAACGATGGCATAATATTTCCTCTTACGTCGAATGTAACGTTGAAGAAATTCAATGAGTTCACTGTCTGGAACTTTAACGACAGAGGCTTGAACTTTTGACATAAATGTTTTCGCTGTTGAGTCCATAGAGTCTGAAGTTGCTGATATAATGATTTGGTCATAATATGAGTCATTTCCTAAACGTTCTGTTATGAGTATATGACGAATTAAATTAAATGTCTTACCTGAACCCATCTTTCCACAATAGAAATAAACACCATTTGAACAGAACTCATAGTCCTTACTGAAAGGAAGAATGAGAGAAGAGTTAAGTTTGTCTGTAGTTTCATTCATGTCTTCATCTACGTCATGTATTAAATGCTTCATTTTATCTCCATTAAAAATGCAAGTCAGAAATATTCAGAACATAGCACCGAGTCTAACTGACAAGAGTATAAAGATATACTATGAACACGTTATGATGAAACCTACCAAAATTCAAGAAAGTCAGTATACTTATGAATATCCAAGACACTGGGTAGAGTATGTAGGAGGTGAGAAAGCTATTGAAATCAGACAGGTTCGAAGTATTCCAGCAGGAAGAACAATATTATTGAAGAACTTTAATGTTTTGAGGTATAATGATGAAACAAAGAAGCAAGATAGTTTCCTGTTGCTGTGTATGTGAACCTAGACACAGGAGATGACATGAAAGTTTTTAACACAAAGCTTCAAACGGTAGTGAGAGAACAACTGACTGCGGAAGGACATCCATTACCTTCAGAAGTTACCATAGCATATAATTTTGAAACAAACTCAATAGATTTTAAAGTCGTCTCTGCAAAGAAGTCAGGTTTTACATTTAATGAAGCAGATGTATATTCGAATGAAAACTTCAAAGCTATTGCATGGTTAGATAATGACGATTGCTTTAAGAAAATATTTAAATTCAGTGACTCAAAGATGTCAATAGATGACCTTCGTGGAATGTTACCATCGACGTTTACAGTTGAAGGTTCAGCAGGATTGCTTACAAGATTGTCAATTGGTGGTATTTGGTCTCGTGAGAACATTGTTATAAAATCCAGTATAAGTGAATTTGCTGAAGAATCTATATTATGTCTTTCAAACTACATGTATTCGCCACCGAAGCATTATAGTATAACAAACTTTGTCAGTAAGTTTAACATAAGACTTGTCGAACCTTCTTCAATGAAAGATGTTGTGCTACCTAAAGATGGAAAGGATGGACTCATTATTGAGATGATTTTAATTGCATATTAAATGAGCTTGTTCTTGAAGGTCATTCATGATGAAATAACTGTTGTAGAAGATGTTAGCAATTGTTCAGATATTTTTTGAGAATAGATGAGATAAGAAAGAAGTTTATGAATGAGAATGTTTATGTTTCATTGACTTTCTCCAGTAACGAGAACTTTTATGAGATAATATTGAAGAGAGATGATTTTAATATGGTGTAAATGGTAGCTTGGGCAGCTTTAGGCGCAATGGGAACAAAAGCATTAGCATTTGGAGCAAAAGCACTTGGAGCTTATGACGCAGTAAATAAAATGAGTGGAGGAAGAGTTTCGAAGACATTAGATGCAAATAAAGGAAAGATTGGAGGCTGGGTTGCAAAGAAGTTAAGATTAAATAAAATGGGGCTCATAAATAAAGCATCCAATTTGGTTGCGACTGAGTCAGAAAATGCTTTAGGAAAGGACGATGAGTTTGCAAAACACGCAAAAGACTTTAATGACCAGATGAAAGGTGAAACAATGCATTTAAATAGAGTCGATGGAACTCTTCCTCCACCAGTAGTTCTTCCGTATGGTCCCTATGGAATGTATGGAAACCCTTACGAAAGACCATTTGACCCATTGACTGGTGGAAGTAACTGGTATCATTACGGTCGAAGAAGAAAGACAGTCAAGTTGGAGACAGACGTGAAGAAAGCAACTAAAAAGAAACCAAGGAAGAGAGTTATAAAGTAATGAATTCAACGGGTGAAAAAAGAGGTGAAAAAACAGGTGATATCTCACCACTTCACCTAAATTTATTTTTGCGCTATGTTTTCATACGTGTGAGGGTGGTGATATCATTAATTTTTAAGTTTATTTTTTTATAAATGACAGAACAAAAATATAACATTTCTACTCAGCAGGAATGAGACCCTTACTGACTATGTATTCGTTTAATGCTTGATGAAAACAATGGTACATATTATCGTATGGGTATACACAGCGTCTGTTTCCATCGTCGTCGTATATGTAGAGCTCAAATCCAGTCCAACCTTCTTTTGTACAATATGTAGCTTTATTTAAGTATGCATTTATGTAGATAAGGCAATTTTCTTCATCGCTCCAGAAATAATTTTTGTTCTTTGTTGAAATAGTTTTCGTTCCTCTGCGACCATAAGGAATGTATGCAATGAACTTTGCGTCATAAGGGATTGTAATATATTCAGGGTTTCTTTCATCGTCAATGGGTCTGTCTTTGTTAAAATGCATGTTTCTCAGTTTTACTTGAGTTTTGAATAGTTCACGGAAACGTTCTGGGAAAGAGTCATAGTAAATGTAGTCGGACATGTCTTTGTAATGAAATAAAAAATTTAAAAAAAATAAAATAAGGTTATTTTTATTTAGTGAGGACGGTAGTGAATTCGTTAGTGAAGTCGTTAGTGAAGTCATTAGTGAAGTCGTTTATGTGTCAGATGGTTTTGTAAATATTTAAGGTTAAGTTGGTGTTATGGTTGTGTTGTAAAATATACGTTACCGGTTTCGTAAAGTGTCAAAACCGCTAAGTGGTGTACGGAGGCGCGCAGTGCCACAGTACACAACTTAGGGATACTAACTTCCAGATGATCTTGAAAATTTTGTAAGAGAGCAATTTGAGCAATTTTCTCATGATGATTTAAAGCGTGTCTTTCAAGCCTGGATCGATCGCTGCGAACGCGTGATTGAATCCAATGGTGATTATATTTAAATAAACTTTATATATATGTAACTTGTTTATTTCTATTCGCAGTATTCAGGTTTGTGCTAAACACACCTTTGGACACCCTATAGAATTAGTTGATTTTCAAAATTGGTTTGGAAATATTTGATTTGATTAAATAAACCAATATTTTCCTTGATTAATTCAGAAATTTCTGGGAATATCGCTTGCTGGCAATCATTCAAAATAGTTGTCATTCGTCTTATAGCAGCTTGGGTTTGATTATAACGAGGTGCCATTGGTATTACAGGGTTAGGCAAATCAAGTAGAGTGTAATCGGAAAAGATGTCGATTGCAGCAAACTGTGCAAATTCAATCATGAGATTTGAAAAAAAATGGACGATGTATTCTCCAAGAGGTATCAAATTAACCCTATTAAATTTCTCAAGTGAACTCAAATGATCCAATCTCTTCAAGTACATCTTGTTAAAATTAGTGAGTTCTCTTTCTAATATATTGAGGTCATTTCTTAATTTTTTCAGATCTTCAATTGTAAATCGTCTATTTCCATGAATAAAATCATTAAGCGCCTGCGAAAGCAATGTTATTTGCCAGCCTTTTATTGGAATAAATCCTATAATATCTACAGTAAGATCACCTTCATTCTTGTAAAAATAAATTTGTTGAGTATAATTCAAGTAATCATTATAATAAGATGTAACTATTTCTGTTAATGTTTGTAATTTCTGGATTAGAAAACAAATATATGGGAAATATTTTCTGACGGGTTGATTAAATCTTTGAAGGTATTGAAATTGGTCCTGCAAACGTAAGTTGTAGTCATAGATTGTTCTATGAACATTATACAAGTTAGTATTTGTAAACATTAAATTCGTAAAGTTTAACATTATTTGATTGAATACAGCGTTTTCATTAGCAATAGATTGAAGAATTCCTTGATATCGGCTCTGGTTTTTAAGAATAAGATTTGATATATCATTCAAAGAAGTTGATAAATGATTATTGATTTGAGTCAGTTGGCTCATTATTGTAGATGGTTTAATGCTAATATCTGACGAATTATTCCCAATTATCAGTTCTCCATTAGCGATTTGGCTATAGGAAAGTTGCTCCATTAGAATTTCATTGTGAACATTATGACCAATACAAATCGAATAAGTTAGTTTAATTCTTTCAAGATGTGGCCAAGGACAAATTCTATATGTTCTTGCCAAGTCTTCAATGAATTCATTTGAAATAGGATCTGAATCATTAAATTCCTCAACTAGCTTTGGAATCACGTAATAATAAATATATATTTGTACAAAATAAACAAGAAGTTCGATAAATAAAGTAACACCATCAATAACAATATAAATAACGCATTCTGATTTATCTGTTGTAACTTTTGCAACACTCAGAATTTTATCAGTAATGTTTTCATCGTAAGGAAGTGTTTCATTGTTATAGATTTTCTCAGCTGACTCAGGCAAAGCTACAAAACAAATAATAATTATGAGAAAGGTAAAAAAGTGAATTGGAACAAAATATATATCTTGGATATCATTGATTGATTTTGGGCGCAGCGTGAGACTATCTTTTGTGAGACTGTTATAGGAGGTGAACTTGTATTCTGCATTTGAATTTAAAGAAATTTTGGATTTAGAAGTTACACCTGAAAGTGGAATGCATGCAAAATATTGATTGATTTGCGCTGATATTTTCGTCAATTCGCTTTTGTCGGGGAACCTTTCTTCATTGATATGCCAAAAAATATCAGCAATTTTTTCATGATCAAGTTGATTAGTTATATGACGTGGCATGCCGTTTTGATATTCTTGTAATGTATCAATAATCTTTTGTAAATACTCTAAAAGTGTTTTTTTTTCGTTCTTGATTTCTTGATTAAAATTATAACTATGATAACAAACATTGTAATGAAATATAAAAATTGTAAAATCGTAATAGATAATTTAACTCTAAAATATGAATCAAAATCAGAAGGTTTTTTAATACCATTTGGAAGAGTTAGATTTGTGACGTTAAGTTGGTCCGACATTGGGTTCTTCGGATTTTCTTGCCATTTAAAGTCTCCATATAAAAGGACAACTTGGATAGCAAGTAGAATGATGGAAAAAAATTTTTACAAAGTAATTATAGCGGTATATGTTTTCAAGAAAGTCTAATAAACGCCCAGCAACATATCGGCCCATTTATTGTTTCTTTATTTTTTGTAAAGATTGATAGCTTTACAATGAATACTGGAAATATTTTATAAAACTATCAATCTTTATCAAGAATTCCAAAATAGAGGAATTATTGAAAATCGTCCCACCTTTTCAATTTTTACACTATTATTAAAATATGTTATATATGAATTGACAAGCCAACAATCCAAAAATTGTCGAATGACAATATATTTGATTTGAGATATTTACAAAATTTAGCGGTGCTTTATTCAATATGATTTTATGATTGTGATTGAGAAAAATTTTGTTACGAATTTGAATAAATATAAATATACAGTTGTTTGGTAAAATCGATATTTGGAAAAACGACATAAAAATTTTTATTGAATTATATCACTTTACAAAACGATAAGAAAATTTTTATATCAATGTTTGATAGAGAAGGCTTTTTTACAATATCTCACCAGAGATGTTATAAGCAAATTACTTCAAGATGTAGTTATCTTGTTGATAATTCTGAAGAGTATGTAAATCATGTTATTGATCTTAGTGAAAAATTATATAATCTTGACCCTGATCTTATTCCAACAAAACTTTACTCATATTATGCTCAAGCACAAGACAAATGCTATACTTTTTTAAAATTTATAAAACCTCATTACATTTCTAAACAAGAATTTGAAGAAATTTACACTTATTTAGCAAATTCATCAGATCAAATGTATCAATATCTTGAAGGATTGAATCAAGCATATTCATACAAATTTACGTTTTTCAAGTTTATCTTACCATATATTTATTTCAGTAATCAAATCCAAAATTCATTACAAATGAAGATTGCTGATTATTATAATAATATTGACCACAATGCATGGGATTTCGTTGATACTGTTCATAAACTTATGAAATTTCTTGCTGAAAAAAGTAAACTTTACAAACAACGAGTTACTGAAAATGGATTAGATAACACCCTTAGCAATGATTTAATTCGATATGTTACAAACTTTCAGCCACTTGCATTAGGTAGTTTCTTAACTACAAAAGATGAATGGAAAAAGTGCCTTGAATTTGCTGTTTCAATTGAAGAACTAATTCACAAATATCCCACAAAAATTCCTGAAGTATTCCATACTACACGAAATCGCTCAACACACATTG